TACAAGCGTACATCCTAACTTCGAAATTCAAATAATTCAACTGACACAACGACATAAGATGTATATTCGAATGACAGAATAGAGTAACGATCTTTGTTGAATCGGAATCGTACTTGGCAATGCATCGTAGTCGAGTCATCATTCGAATGATTCGATAATCGGTAATGACAAGGACGGCTCGGCTTGTGCGGTGACCTTTGGATTATATTGGCTTTGGTTTAGCGGTAACTGCTTTGATTACTTTTTATTATTAGTTTTTGTTATTGATACTTTGAAATGTATTGTTGTTATAATATTGGTACTAATATTTAATGTACTTAAAATTTTACATACATTCATTAGGTATACACAACCACTTTTGACTCATTGGCATAGACCTTACCAGGTCAATTTTTCTTATTTCTTCTTCTTCTTCTTCTTCTTTGGATTCCTTAGAATTCATAAGACGGAGTTAGCTATATTGTAGTGTATGTGTGAATACCTTTAATTACCTTTGTATGTGTGCGTGTCTATCCATCTTATTAAATCATGTATTATTTCATAGGAGATTCAGTAATGAATGGTTACTCGTACATATTAAAAAACAATATAAGTACCGTCGCTACCTCACCTATGAACCTATGAACGGCATTATTTGAATATCAATAAAATACAAATCACAGCTACAATAGAGATTTAATTAAACTCGTGCGTAATGACCTATGATTTAGAGCTAAGTCAATAATACGTCGATTGATTTTACTGCCTTGCCAAATGTTATATATGGTACCTTGTTAATTAACTGCATAGCTAATTCGCCCAAACTTTATACTAACTAAGAGTAGAACAAGTGTGAACAATGTTTACAGAAAACTTATTTTGTTGAAGTTTTTTATGTGGAGAGCCATGCTTCGGCGTGAATGGGTCGGCTCGACCGGAGTGATACCACGGCCTCACAGAAAACTGGGGTGAAACAACCACAGCGTTGTGTTTCGCCGTGTGAATGAGGTTACTGGAGGCCCAATCCTTCCCCTCCCCCAATCCCTCCTCAATCCCTAATGCCTAAAAGGTCGGCAACGCACTCGTAACTACTCCGTTGCGAGTATCCATGGGCGGCGCTGATTGTTTAGCATCAGGTTATCCGTAAGCTCGTTTACCGACCTATTAAATAAAAAAAGTTCATATTTCTGTCTTTTAAATCGAATAGAATCATAGTTTGGTATTTCCTCCTCATTATGATATTAAACATTTATTAGTAACTTATCGCAATCAGATTTAAACATCCTGACTTCTATTTATTATCAAAGAGCAAGCGCAGACACTGTAGCCTTTATTATTATATTATTTAGATACAAATTTACATTTATAAATTGATAACTTATTTTCGGGACAAGGAGGTTTTAATCTCTCTAACTTTGGTGCAAGCTGAAGTGGCGATCTTCAGTTCCATTAGACAAAAGTCATGTTTTATATAGATAGACATGTATGCTTTAACTAAACTCAAAAAAACTCAATGCTATCTTAAATATAGTAAAAATGAATTGCTGTTCGTTAGACTCGATTAAACTCGAGAACGGCTGGTTCGTTTTGGATAATTTTGGTGTCAAAATAGTGTGAGCCCAGAGAAGGTTCAAAAGGTCAACATATAGTTATTTCTCTGGCGTAACTAAGATCGCCGGCTAGCTAGTAATCCAAATCCAAATCCAAAGTAATATTATAAATGCGAAAGTAACTCTGTCTGTTTTTTCTTCACGCCTAAACTACTGAACCGATTTCTATGAAATTTGGTACAGACATAGTTTTGAACTCGAAAAAGGACATAAGATAGGATAGGAAGAAGAATCTGCAGGAAGTCACTATTCCACACGAACGGAATCGCAGGCAAAAGCTAGTAGGTATTATATATTATCATCGTCTGTAAGATGTGACTACCTCAACACGGATCCAATAAACATAGCACAATGAATTAATTATTCAAATAATTCTTGATAAATAAGTAATAAATTAATAATAATAAATAAATTATTCTGGTCTCTATGTCTCCTCTGTTTTACCGGATCTGTGTGAGTTAATCACAATATACATAGGATGATTTGAATTATTATTTAGTTAAAACAACAATTCATTGTTAAAACAAAAATTACTTCAGTATTCGTTAATTCAAACACAACTACGCGTGATAATTTTCTTTTTTGTTCGATATCAAAAATGTATTATTATCAGTAGGAACGTAGTACGTACTTACCTTTTGGAAACACAGGTGTGTGTTATTTATATGCAGATAAAACCTAAAATATAAATTAAAATAAATAATCATACTGTATATTAGTACAACATTATCTATGTTCGTAATTCAATTGGCTATTTATGTAGTCATTTATGTAAAAACAATAAACTGTTTTAATATAATTTTAATAGACATTAGTATTAATAGACTTCTTGTACATATATTTAAGGACTGTAGGGATATTTAAATATGTATCCCACGGTCTAATGAATATTCCAACGGGTGTAATCAATTAAATTTAAAATCGATAGCCGAATACGGTGTACTCGCGATAATAAAATTAACAATAAATATCTTTGTTCTCTAATAAATAATAAATAGTATTCTGTTTAGATTGTAAACTACTTCAGTATTTTATTAAAGTAGTATTTATATACTAGCTTCTACCAGCAGCTTCGCCTGAACTATCAGGATAAAATGTTACCTATATGCTTCCAAACTACATAATCTATAGCTATTCCGAATTTCATTTAGATCCGTTGAGTAGTTTTTACGGCATGGAGTTACAAATATTCATCCATCAATGTTTGCTCGACGTCGAGTATGAAGTATACCATAGCACGTAGGTAGTACCTATACCACGGCCTCACAGGTCACAGACCCTTCCCATCCCCATATCTTCCCAATCCTTAAATATCCGAAATCCTCATCCCCAAGGGGCCGGCAACGCACTCCTAACTCCCTTGGTGTTGGGAGTGTCCATGGGCGGCGTGGATTGCTTACCAGCAGGTAACCCGTTAAGCCGCTCGTTCGCCGACCTATCCCATAAAAAGTCATACTTACAAACTTTCACGGCTTTAAATATATTAAATTGGGTACATATAACAGGCATTGCTTATGTAAGGCTTTTTATTCTCATGTTGGCAGATTTAAGCATAATTATGTACAAAAGTATAACATTATCACTCACTTTGCGCAGGTTACATTAACAGACACTTAGGGGCAAGCTTATTGCCATTTACCGGCCATAGTTCCAAACTCCATTCCACTCCGTTCCACTCAAAATTTGGTTAAGCCCAAATATGTTGCACCATGTACCAACTATACATAGCGCAATGAATTTTATATTTAACTAGAATTAATAAAAAGCAACTAACCGTTTATTGCAGCAGAAAATGTTAAGGCAATAACAATCTCAGTCGTTTCTAAACTCACCTATTTAAGTAAATCGTGTACAATTTAAAAACGTCCATTTATATTTCAAAACTATAAAAAGGGCTCGCCGATTAAATACCAATAAATGATAATCGATACTTACAATCGTTTAGCTATAAATAATAACATCGAATCACTTTATAAGAGAAAGCTCAAACATAATAAAACGCTACACTAACTATAAACAAATAAAACTAACTAGCGATGATCACAACTCATATTAGCATCGTTAGGTATCGATAAACACAACAAATTGATTGCGTAAACATCGGTCATACGAATCGAGAATCGATTTATCTCCGAATGATCGACAAACAAAACGAGCAACCATTTATGACGATTCGATGGACGTTAGAATCGAATGCCTTTTACGGCGATTCGTATGATCGGAAGACCATTCCTGGCGCATGTAAATTACTATCATAACATCATTGTCAAAGGCAAACACCTTGTATTATGGTTGATTACAGTCAAAGAAATAAGAACCGTATGTTCCTGTCTCCAAGGTAATATTTGAAATTGATTAGGATGTGACTTGGGACGTTTGGTGTATGTGAGTCCCTGTGTGAGCCGCACCTCGATAATCTTTATATTAACGACGTTCTAATTTTAGGGCTATTCAATTATAACTATTCACACCGAGATTGTGATTGTGCATTTGTGTATTTATAATTTCTTATAACTGGTTTGTTGGAATCGTTTGTCAATGGTCACAAACACTACTATAGAAGAACAGGTTCTAGTCTTTTTTTATTCTGCAATTAGGTTTTGTTTCCAACCCTAGACGCAAGTGCACCATAATTGGGTTTTAACAGAGTGAACTCATTTTTAAGAGGAAAAAGTCGGAAAACTCACTAGCGCCATCTACCTTACCTAATAATGATTGACCAATTCTGACTCCAATATTTCATAATAGTGTGGGAGAGCCATGCTTCGGCACGAATGGGTCGGCTCGACCTGAGTGATACCACGGCCTCACAGAAAACCGGCGTGAAACAACCACACCGTTGTGTTTCGCTGTGTAAGTGAGGTTACCGGAGGCCCAATCCTTCCCCACCCCCAATCCCTCCTCAATCTCCAAATCCCTAATCCCTAAAAGGTCGGCAACGCACTCGTAAATCCTCCGTTACGGGTGTCCATGGGCGGCGCTGATTACTTACCATCAGGTTATCCGTCTGCTCGTTTGCCGATCTATTACATAATTTAAAATATGTAGGTATTTATAAATATAAAAGTTGAACAACAGAACATCTCTCAACAAACCTACCATACAACTTCTGAATAAAAAAAACCATCAATGTTTTATACATATGTACATTTGAAACACTACATATCATATACATTGTACCATTTAATAACTACAAAGTGTTATTTACAAAGTGTATATAAAAACTGTATTAAGTACTTTATTGTTCGACAAAAAAGGTTAACAAGTATCAATTATTTGGTAGTGATGAGACGATGTACAATATAAAAAATATTCTATGAACGGAACTTGGGACAAAAAATTTGCATAGAGACCTTTATAATATTAATATGCAGGATCTAATTTTTTTGTGGAATATATTTTTTTGCCGCCATGACATCGTCGTTCTATTTCCTTGAAAGGGTAAGCTAAGGTGTATAAAACATCTAAATATGATTTACAGATCCGTGAATTTAGTCAACATTGTGGCTTGATTATTTTTGAGACCAGAAAATTACTCATACTCGCCCTGGGTGAGGCAAGAGGGAGTTCACCCCGATCCAACTCCCGCTTCAATTCAGGCCACTTGCCATTGCTTTTCTAGGTATATTTTTCGGAAAGTTGCTTAGACCAAAGGCGAATCCTTTATTTAATTTTTTTTGTTTTTTATAAAATATGACAAATATATTTAATGGAATAAAGGTATACGTAATATTATATTCATAAAACTACTCAACTTTATTTGTTGATAGTCGGGGTTGATAGAGATTAGGCCAAACTTTATGTTTTACCGACTTTTCTTTATGTTCTTTTACATTAGGTCTATTTTAACCAAACTTTATAACTGTATTCTAAATTGAAACCTTCTCCAATCTTCCACAGTAACGCAGTCAGAACAGGAGCGTTCGTGTATAGCCCTACTTCGACTACAGCGCCGCTCGGGGCAGTTTCTGTGGGTTCATGCGGTACTACAGCTCAAGGACAACTTGGAGAACTCACAGCGACCTGTCATTGTGTGCACTAATCAGGTGTTAAGGTAAGTACATGTATACATACATATGTTTTTATATATGGATAGAGCTGCATACGGGTAGATGTTTCAATGGATGGTGGGCAGGCGAACGCCAAAGGCCAGTCTTTTGCAGACGTATCCTCCATAGTATACTTATCTATAGTTTAATTAGTAGTTTCTGTTGTTACTTACATCTAATATCACGTCATAACAGCCTGTATCAGCAGTCTTCTGGACTTTTCTATTCAGTAATTCTTCAACCAATCAGCCAATTTTTTTCAGTTAATTGATTCAGGTTTTATAGAGCGCTCTCTGTGCTACCTGATCTCTGTCCTCTTATTTGAAACCGAATCTCCTTGCTCCACAATGCTGCATAAGACCTCTTTGCTCCTAAATGCTGCAAAAGACTGATAAAATGTTCAGTGGTTCTGAATTTTTTTTCATTATACTTCGGGTCAAATTTTACTTTAAGGAAAAATGAAAACATAAAATAGATCTTAATACAATAATCACGACTCGAAATTGTGCACTTAATATCAATTACAAATAATATTTCTTGAGGGTATCATACTTGTAATAACTAACCTCATAGGTCCAATGGGTGAGGCACATAGCAATCATTGGAAAATAATTGCCCTTTAATATTTCTTCAAGCGATTTATTCGCATTACTATTTGACTGTGGCACTACAAATAATTACTAACCCAACCAATCATGTTAGCTATGCTTGTTATTGGAACTATTCATTAAATTATATGTTTCATAATTAAATATCAATGTTCAACTTGTCATAGAATATTAAGGCTAATTCAATAATTAATTAATTCAATGTTTATGTGACCTATAGTTGCCAGCAAATTCTAAGTAATTGTACTTTTTTACTTGTACATCTTCAAATATAAGATAACTGATTATTCAACATACTATTTAAAATGTGTTCTTGTTAACTGCGTGTGCTGCTTTTTATAAAGCATTTTAAAACTATAGAAAATGTTAAAAAGGTTCACTGTTCATCATCTGACGGTTTTGCCAAAAAACTAACTTTCTTTCCTCGACCTGGTGTACCTCTTGTATCTAACATAATGAAGGGCGCCCTCTAACTAGGTGGACTGACGATATCCGCAGGGTTGCTGGTAGTGGTTGGATGAGAAGAGCTAAACATCGAGCTCAGTGGCGTAAAATTGTGGAAACCTATGTTCAGTAGTGGATGGAATCAGGCTGATAATAATGATATACCTAATCTTCCAATGCCGAAAATTCACTTGTCAGTTGTCTTGTGCGTGTGTCCATGGGCGACACCGACCGACTGTCTGTGTCTGCTCGTTTACTACCTATTCTATGACAAAACAATAGACTGCTCATTCTTCCTCCTGCCCTTACTCAAGAAGCGTGTGGTCAGCACTATAATACGCCTTCTTCCATTCGCTCCTATCCAGGGTTATCATACTACACATTTTTATGTAATTCAATCCTCCTAGTACCCATTAAAAATTGACTAAATCTATAAAATGCCTTGATAGATTGCCTCTATGGCTATTCTTTTTGTAATATCGTCCTTCTCTAAGATTTACTCCTTTAATGTAGGTGCTTTAACAATCATACACAAACAAAACAAACATTTTTGGATCTTACAAAGAGAATTAAGTCCAGTGACACGTTACGCGGCAGTCTGTACACAAGCCACTGAGCTACTGGTGCAGTTGAATTTAATAATGTACTTAGTTTTACAGTAACACAACAATAATTACGTAATACAATCATAAACATCAAAAGCTCAAGTAAATGCAAACACTTAAATAAAGCAGTAAAGTATCAAATATCGCGATTTAACATAAAACGGCTCAAATTACATTCGGTGTTCACAGGCTAAGAAATTAATTCTATTACAGAATAATTCAAATAATTATTTGTACGGAGAGTACAAATTATCTAGATATAGACCCACTATTTGATATTTTTTTATTTAAAAGTATGAAGCTGAATATTTTTCTGTTTCATTGTCGATGCAAGATATTTAAAATTGACTGATCCTTTATTTTTATTATTCAATAAGTTTTTCAATCCCAAGCCCATTTACAAGTCTCCCTTCTGTTTGTTATTTTCACTAAATATATCTTTAATTATTTATCAAATCGATTCAGACTAAAGCAGGCGTTTAACATTCTTCACTCATTACTGGTAGAAAAAATAACTTTACAAAAAAGACATCAACATTAACTATACGTATTTTTTTAACAATCTTTTTCTATTGTATACTTATCCAAATAAAACCTTTCCATCAAACAATATCATGATATCATGTAAGTAGACCAAATACTACCTAAACGGTACGATATTTATCGTTAAAATACCGGCGTTCAGGCAACAACCAATAATTATGTTTACTGCCGTGCGATCCAGCTTCGTAATTATGAATTAAACTATAATTGAAGATAATTTTACAAGGCATTTTGTTTGCGTTCATCTTGACAACATTTTTTAAATACCAAGATGCAGCGTGCTGTATTTCCTTTTATAGAATATGCTTGGCTAATAAATCTGTGACTGGTATGACTAGAAGCAGTGACATGAATTACCTTATAAATGCTTATTTATAGCAATTGTTATGAAGAAACTTTAATAGCATTATTACTAGCTTTTAATCTTATCTTTTATATAATTATTTGTTTTTCGACTATTAAAAAACCTATGGCTGTGTGTGTTGTATGATGTGAGAATGATTATTCATTAAATATGTACTATATTTAACTGCACCGGTCATCCATTAAAACGTAATACAGAACATCTAGCAAATAAGGAAACAGCACTGTCACTAAAATATTATTAGTCGCATATTCCTCAAATGGACAAATCTCATTTTCTTGGCTTATAATCCTAGGCCAGAACCAACTCTGACAAGAACAAGATAATCTAAGAAACATAAAATTCTCAAACAAAAGAACGTGATAATAAAAGCTTCCAAGAACAATAACTCTACGTATTTCAGAAAGTAAAGCTCGCAAACTAATTGAGCCGAAAGCCACACTATTAACCGAACCGATAATTCCACCGGCCCACGGTGCGCGGACTTTGAAAAATTACACTCATAACTTAACGCGGTCACTTACAGACTTCCCTATTGAGATATCAGTACTAGATGACGCTCTACGACGTACGCCTCTCGCGTAAACACGGCCCTTACCATTGTTGATTCAACTCGATTGTTGTTGCTACGGATTTTATGAGGTTTAAAAAAGATAGTGTCAAGTTGTCATGTTTCTTTTCGTTGAGATGATTTGGTTCTGAAGTTAATAATATTATTATTTTCTCAACAGTTAATAGTTAGCATTTTACGATTATACGGATCGATCTAAGATTTTAACAAAAACTCCATGATAATATAAAAAGCAACATTGACTAAGACACAACATTATTATAAAACTTAAACGCAGACGTACGCTATCCAATTAATGAAATAAAGTTGTATATACACAGTCATGTTTTCTAAATAGGAAGACAATCCATTATAAATTCCACTCATGTGCCAACCATAACTTTTCTATGCCTTGTTAATTGGCGTTAATAGTCACAATCATAGTCTAGCAATTTTAGAAGGCCAATTATGTTTCATTTTGTTTACTTGTCTTGATTGAAGTAACCTATATTTGACTTCTTCTAATGATACACTACGTAATCATTTTCATTCAGAGCACTCGTTATTTGGACTATTCTTTGATTTTTTGCTCGCATGTCGATTTCAACATGGCTGTCCTCGAATCTAACACAGTTTGCACTCACTTTCAGTTGCAATAAATTAGATTTAACGATCACACATGTTCTAGTGACAGTTTGCGTACACCGATACCGAGACAACTTTCGCTGAATGCTTTCAGATGTATCTAATCAGTAAAGGCGTACAGAAAATATGTATCAAACCTTGAATAGGATTACAGAACATGAAAGCCAGTTGAAAGATAAGGTCAAAGTTCCTATGTGATAGGTCGAAACACAGTCATGTCTATTGTTTTTCGAGTTCCCTTATTAAATAAATCAGAACGTAGTTCATCAGTTCGACAGAGAGACTAGCTTTTGATCTCCCGCGATCATTTCCTAAGCTCTATTGCGAATATTTATCTCTTCTGTTCTATGCAATCGAGTGTTAAAACTCGATCGAACATCTAGAGTTCGTAGTGAAGCTTTACAGAGAATAAATATTGTAAGGGGGTGATTTATAGAGCCGGGGCGAGGCTCGCAAGCCGATCGGCCGGCCGATGTTACTATCGGGATGGCTTGAAATATGCCTGCAAAGGGCTATTGTTGTGATGTGAGAAACGGTGTTTAACAAGCGCCGGGTTTGATCGATGGACCCGGCGGATACAACCGTCTATATTTTATAGCACGAAAATACACGAAAACTGCTGCTAATTTTGTAAATTTGTTCAAGATGTATGGCTCGATAGGCCTGACTAAACTTTTGTATAGAAAGTATTTTTAACGAAATGTCTTAATGAAATACCTGTATAAGATTTATTCTCATATCTCACCTCGCATATAGTTACGTATGTTCATTGTAGTAAGCGTACTGAAGAATACCACAGAATGCGCGCAACTGCTATAAGAGATTCTACAACAATGCAAAACATTTCCCTAGGAACTCCTTGCGCTTAAGGACCATTAAAGGCGTAATTAAGATAACGTCTGACTTAACACTTTCCTAAACATTAAATTCAACACTATTCACAATCCGGATTAGGCATCTAGATAATAATCGGCGCGAACAAAGTCATTATGGCTCGGCCTACAGTGACAAGACCGATTCATATTAGTCGTGGTAGGCGCTATTTAGATAGTAAATCTAAATTAATTTGAATGGGCGAGTGGGTGACAGTCCAGCTGACCTAAACAATCAGGCACAAAGGGCGGTGGCGCAGTCCTTAGCCACTTAGGTCTTGGAAGGGAGCGGTGCATGTCATAAGCAGACATTCAAGCGATAATAACACCTGAAGACCATTTACCGTTAAAAGCCTTTATTTTGACCGTTGTTACTTCAAATACACGTTATGAAATTCTAAGAGCTTTAGCTTTCGAGCAATTAACTTGAATTAGGCGGGTAAACAAATTGGTTTTACTTAGGTCCAACGTTTACAAACATAAATTATTTTCTAAGAATGACAAAATACCTGCTGTGTAACAAAGACATTTGCAATAATTAAGGATACTCGAACGAACTTATTATCTACGTATTTCTAAGTATTAGCCAGTTATGTAGATACTATTTGGGCATTGTTATGTTTACTTTTATCCTAATAATTATTGGTATCATTTTGAATTTGGTATAGTAAACAATGTCGCTGTATTTTACAAATTGCACCAAATGTTATACGGTGGTGGCTATAAATCCGCTGTGCTCACAAGCTCAGTTGCATTGTTCGCGGGATTGCGTCATTTGTCACGTTTCTGCGCTGATGCTCTTGCGCAACCTACTCATGTTACTTCGTGCTCTCCACTGACAAATACTGTTGCTTTTAATAATGAGCCCGGCTTACGTGAATAACTGATTTAATGGCGTCTCGAGCTTTATTTTCTAGCTGCATTATCGGTAACCACAACATTTCGCAGTGGCTGAAAATTCCAAGCCACAAAAAGCTTGTGAACTAAGCTTTCCGTGTCTAATCCATGTCTTTGTATCTACTTTAAAACTATTTGTTAAACTTACACGAGTAGCTGTAAAGATTCATACTCAAACGTAGTTTATAACCTCAAATTAAATTTCAATATTGAAATAAACCTAGTAAGTAATTTAACGCTCGTTTATACACACACCTATGGCATGTACAAGTGATACGGTGAACGACAACAAATTGTCAACATGTCGGCCGCCTACGTCATGTCGCCGAGATTTATGCGTTCAGGCTGCGCGGACGCACAAATTGGCGGGAAACTGAGAACATGGACGGATACGTTGATTTCCAACATTCCATTAACTCGGTTATGCATAACAAGCACCGGATTATGTAGACAATATAAAAAAGTCTAACTAGAATGCCTGAACCTTGAAAATTATCTATAAAGGATCTTGGTTAAATGGTTCTACGACATTGTATAGACGTTGGCAGATTTACATTGACATAATTAACTAAATACGTGTTTAAACTTATGATGACGAAGCTCGTGAATCATTTTTGAATACGCGTAAGCTGCCTTTAATTTTAATGACGAATACTAGGTACCTACATACTAAAAACCAACTCAGGTCTTGAATTCAGGTCTTAAGCCATTATCCTCTTTGTCACCTCTACGAACACTAACATACATCTTCCTAACACCTTATTTAAGCCGAGTGTTCAAAACACTAAATAATATGAAACAACTTATTATACAAATGAGAATAAAATTAATGGCATCTAATGTGCATAAGTTACCTACTGTTTCTGCGATATCTCCGAAGCGTTCAGTAAGGCTTTTAGCATAAATAAAATGTTAACACAGGCTAGCTATAAATCACTAAGGTCGTAAGGGTCAAGTTTATTAATGCAGAACGCGTGTAAACATAGGAATAACGTTTTATCCAAACGCCCTTTCGGTTCCAAAGCTGAATTACTGAATACTTCACAACAGTATCTCTTTACTTACAGTAAATGTAATAGCGATTTGTCGCCGTCCAACACATATCTAAACTTTGATGTACTGTCGGCGGCAGTTAAACGACACTCCCTACTAACATAGCTTAAAAAAAGATTTTCTGTCAATTTTACTGTACCCAGTAGGTAGGTAAGTACCTAATCTTAGTCGTTATTTATTTTATTATTTTACACCTAGGTAATTTGATCAAAAATAGCTAACAAAACACTCTACACATAGGTACCTTACTAATTTAGGACATACTCAAATCGGTCCGGTATAAAATACCTTCTTAGCGAATCACTCACATGAAATACCTAATGGTTTTAAGCTCAAATATAAACCTTAGTATTTATTTAATATTAGTAAAGCAACACATAAATATTGAAGATGCATATTAGGTACGTACCTACATACATTAGGTATTCTCACAGTATTATTACTTCGACGTATTTTCAACCCACCTGTACCAGTGTAGGTCCAGGGCTCAGTCCAACTATGTGACATTTCCCTGCATCCACTATCTTAAAGGTTGCCAACACAAACGTTAACTGAACTCGCGCGAAAGGTTACATTAAATACAAATTCAATACCGTGTATTCACCTTGCCTTACCCGCAGTCATTACCTACATGTCGTTTGTTTAAATGTTCCTCATTTTGTCGACAATCGGAGATGTGTGACGTAGATAACATAAGTTCGTATCATTTGTTAACTAGTAACGAACGCAGTTGTTAACTAATTTTATTAGCAATACGTTTATCTAAAGACAGTGTGATTTAAGATAACACACAATTAATTTGTTCTTCAAAAGAGTTTCCTCTAAGCTTTGCCAGTAATAAACTGCGATCAACCAAAAACCTTTTTGTAATGTAAGCAATAAAATTGTCGTTGTTCGAAAATGCAAGCTATTATCTGAAAATCTCAAAGAGCAATCTATTTCAAGTATTTGTGGGAAGGCTGCTAAGCAACGGTGACTTGTTAAACACATTACAAGTCTAATATAAACTCTCGTTATCAGCGATTAGTGTAATGGAATAGCGCCTAAACTACTTCGATACATAATTAATTGATGCTCGTAACACACGGTGAAAAGAAACCTACTGAATATAAACATTTAACTTTATACTCCTCTTTACTATTATAGTAATGGCTAAAGCTTGTAACAATGTCGTTGAGACTAACGCGAATTCTTTCCAGTTATATGCAATCACCATTTAAAAGTAATTTTAATTGTTTGCGGAGCTCATAACTTGAGTACGATCTATTTCGAGTTCAAGGTTTCTTACGCTTTAACAACCTATTATTGCCTTTATGCTCAGATAAATATCGAGCGCTTGCCTCTTTAATTTTAATGGTACTGGGGACAAATAAACCGCTCTCGCGCAGAGGATACCAATAGTCTAGACTGCCACAGGCTGTTGGTGTGATATTGAAGACAAGATCCTAATTTCACCTCTTGTTTATTATCTTATACTTAGGTACTAACTTAGTAGAATTCGTCTAACCTAGATCTATTGTCTACAGCGAACAAGAAGCAGCGGTGATGAAAGCTAATCCGTGGCTTTACCACTACTACGCAGTACAATCTAAACTGCACTATGGATTGGCGTATGAAGCTGCTACGAGAATGTACGGGCCACCACCGCCAGACATACAAGTCTACCCTCCAGCAATGCAGTACACGCCAACTCCTCCTGTCTGCATCAATGGAACCCAACCTGTTATGATGCCCAATCCTGGCATACAACCTCATATACCCCATGTCCCGCCACACTTAGCACCCATGCACTACGCCTACGAAAGGACCGACAACGGACCTGTCGATTATTCAGTCTCGCTGCAGGAAAATAGGTAAGATATTCTACTTTCCAATTCGATGGCCAACAATTGTTAATTATGCAAATAGAACTAAACCGTTCATGGTCATAACACGATTAATTTGAAATACGTAGTAAATTGTAAGTTCATCTAACAGCACCGAGTTTAGGTAAATATCAGATGTGGCCTAGAAATTATCTTGTTAATTGCACTATGACCTCATGCTGTCTATCAAATATGTCGTTTTAAGGAATGCGCGAATAAATTAGTTTCATCTTGAAATTGTTTTCTGACTTGTTACGATCTTGCGCAGTTAGTCTGATTGAAATACCGCATGTGTAACTTTAGTTTTCTATTCCAGATACCACAATTTACGGATAGAGGATACGAGGATCCAGCCTAATGCTAAGCGGAAAGGGAAAAGTATAGACGATAAATCAAACACACCAATAACAAATATGTCACCACGTTGTACACCTTCAACCGTCACATCAGGTGGCGACACATTAGTAGCAGTTTCAGCGGGATCCATTGCCAGTAGAAGACCGGGATCCAAAAATTTTAACATAACTGAAACAGAAATGGTTGACCAATGGAATCCAAGTCCTACGTGGTCAGAATCAGCACTACAAAAAGTGCCTGACGTCTGTCACCAAGATCTAAGTCCTTACGTGACGACGACGCCTCCTACGCCGTCCGGGACACCTACAGCCTACACCCACAACTATAGTCACACCTTCGTATTCGACTGGTCACCAGAGCAATATGTTCCTCATACTAACAATAGATGTAACACAATAACCACAGAAAGTTCCTATCAACAAACGTGGAATAGGAGCCAAAGGACAACGTTCGCTAATAGCGCCGAGAACTCGGTAGATGAAAACTCCAATCCTAATAGATTAAGTTTACCAATGAGGGTCAGTAATCCACCGCCAGCGTATAATGCATCTAGGGAAGACGTACTTAGAAGGCAAATTGGTAAGTTACTGCATTTGAATTGAATGAGAATTTTAGTTATCGTATCTACTGTTGGAACCAATATTTCGTATCTTAAGATAGTTGGAATCTGTTTCGAAGTGCAGAGATTGTAGATACATAAATAAAGCAAGATAAATGCGCAGCAGCAATGCGTCTGCACTACCTACACCAGATAAAACATCAGAATAAAATATATTAACGTTCCCTTTTTCTTATTGTTCTAGATCGACCACATTCAGATTCACCGGATGCCAAAAAGCCTGCGTTATAACTTTAGTATAATTCCATGTATTTTTTTTAAATAGTTAAATAATTTGTTACCCTGTAATAATAAATTTTATTAATTATAGAAAAAGCTCTGGAACTCTCCTGTGATCTTTGTGTATAATTATTTTTTGTATAATTATTTGTACATAGGTACGTATTGTCCGGTATCATAGATTCTGTACAAAGTAATGGTATTCTAGAAATTAATTCCTTTTCACATGCAATGTGATTTGTTTGTGTGTATACGAAATGTATAATTTCTTGTAAATATTTATAGGTAATGTACCTAGAACCAATACTAGTTCATGCTTTGGTATATCGATGCCGTCCATTTTCCTAGCTCCTTTTATTCCCAGTGCTATTCATAAATTATGCGCAAACGCAATATTGCTTCTGGTACCGTTCAAACTGGAGGTTGCAAATCCCTATTGAATAAAACAATAGCTAGTCTGGTTTTAGCTCGTCGCTCTAATTTCTCTTTCTGCCTTTGAATATAAAAAAGTAACGAACGCAAACTTTGTATCAGAGACAGTCATTACTTATAGCTTGTTTGTTGCCATTTTGCTCCAACAAAACATTTAAAAATTGATGAGTTTGAAAAAAATACATTAAAATTATTTTTTAACAATTTAATCTATTTCATTTCCCTGTTTGTTTCTTCTCCGAATAAGAAATTTCGTAATATATTTATCTAATTCCGTCTATTGTCGGAGTATAGGTAGAATTAAGAATATTGTACAAAATAGTCATAAGTTTGTAAAATATAAAACAGGAACAACTATTTGTAACGGGAGAAGTACCTAGAATTAATTTATGATCACTATTTTGTTGCGTTTTACGAAGTAAAGATTATTAAGACCTTCGACTTATTATTTTATTTTTCCTTTCACAGTTGAACACAATTAAATAAAACGACACATTTTAATTTTTAATATTAGATTATATTTTAGTGTACCCATTAAAGTAACAAACTGACGACAATAATTATTAATTATCTTATAAAATAATTACACACACATATTAATCAGGTCTGAGGCGCATATTCCTCATCAGACATAAATCTCTGGCAGTATCTTTTCGACCATAAGGAGTTGACAAATCATATAATCGAAGTATCAAACTTATATTAAAACCATCAGGAAGACATTTTATGAGCGTCGGCACAAGTTCACTTGGCATCTTTTGCAAAACTAATGGAGCTCTATCTTGGCCACATTGCACAACGTAAACTAGGAACTGCAGTATAAAATCTGTCTGCGGCGTAATGTCGCCATTTTTCCCCGCCAACTGTGAAAATGACGTATACAATGTGTCTAGAGCAGACAGTAGTGGTTCTTTTAATGTGGTCCCCGAAACAGTGTGCCCTTGGGAATAATACATACTATCAGAAGAATTATCGTTCAATCTTCTTACTTTAGATGAACTACACATATCAATGTCTTCTGCATCATCATGACGACGCTTTCTAGACGGCTGGCCTTTGTTTAGGTTGCTATATTCTAAAGCAGCATAAATGCAGTAAACTGCCAGTTTTGCTAACACGGCACACTGAGGTTCTACTAAATCTTCACATAGCTTAGCATTATACAAATATTGTGGCAAAACATGAAGCAAAAGAGCTTCTGTGCATTTCTCGATATCTAAGTGAAACATTGCAAGAACAATATCAATTGATCTATCTAGGTCTTCCTGGTATCTGAATTTCAAAGTTTCTTTAACTAAATTAGTAACAAACCAAATAGGACCTGTTGTATTCAAAAGACTCTGTACTATATGTGTGGAATCAATATGCAGATACCCTCTTGTTTTAATATCCTCCCAAACTGATTGTAATTGTTCCAGAATGGGTTGTCTTGATATAATGTTATGAGTCAAAACTAAGGCTTTTGACTTTGGCAATGAAGGTGGATGAATGTCATATTGCATCTTTCTTACAATTTGACACATTAAAACAGTTCTTTCCTTAAATTTATCAATTTGTGTCAACTCACCTTCAGTTGGGGCTACCAGAAATTGTTGAACCATGTTGATAGGTTTCAAAAAGGCTTCTTGACTAACAACATTTATGTAAGAACATAACCATACTGAAGCACATACTGCCAAACATGCCATTTTCTGCCTCAAAGAATCCAACATACACTTAACTTCTGAAGCTGTTAACGAACCATGTTCCCAAGCAATCAAAATTTCTTTGATCACTCCACTAACATTAATACACAGATCATGAACTTTAATGTTGGTATTTTTGAAGTCAAATTCTGGTGCGCTTAAATGACTAATAAATATTTCCACAAGTTGTGGGTCACAGTTTTGAAGAATCTGATCTGGCGATTTGTGAACTCCCTGATAAGGCATGCATTCTTTTACCCATTTCTCGAAGAATGAGTCTCCATTTTCATCTAAGACAGCATCTGCACCATAATCTTGGACAATGGAACATAAAATCAAAAATGATATATCAAAAATGTATGCCTTGGATTGAGGAGCTCCTTTTTCATTCGCAGCAAGTAATGCAAATTCATTGAACTTGATCAATCTAGATACAAACAGTTTCAATTTTCCTTCTACAGTTGCAACTGCCAGTATAGTATCTAAAGTTGTCCCACCAACTACAATTTGACACAGCATTGCATATAAAGAGTCCTGTGTTTTATGACAATCACCACCCAAAGTCTTCAAAATGCCAGTTAGGGTTGGTTCTGCTCTAGTAATGAACATTGGAACAGAACCTTGAAGGCCTGTTGGCTCTAACTTTTGCAACTTAACATCTTTATGTTCTCGCTTCTGTTTGAAATATGCCAAATGGCTTTCAGATACTACATTTAGTTTAACTAAAGGCTCTAAGAGTGAAACTATACTGTTGCAACTGTTCTTTGTATCAACAACATCTAAAAGTGGTGTTGATTGTAACAATTTTTCAAATGCTTCAGCAATTTCTATTGAATATTCACTGTCCTTCGCTGTAGTGCCACACAGATTGTGTAAGTAATGGATGACTTGTGGCACTTTAAGAAAAGTAAAGGCAGCCCACAGTGATTGTGTTGTTGAATCCTTGCTTGAATCATTTAGGGAAATAAAACTTGCTCTAATAAGTTCATAATAAAGTCTTGATAATGGGTATCCTTTAATCCGCTGTACCATGAGTAGTTGGCTGGATAGCTGTTGCATATTAGCACTAGGATTAGATAACACATTAACTGCTATAAGTGCTTGTAAGCAATGAGTTACAGGCTCCGGCTTATTGTTCAGTGGTGCTATTTTATCAATATCCATATTGCATATCTTTTGCAATGTCTCATGTATAGTGACAGGTGCTTTAAATTGAGTGTTCATCATCATAAATGCTGTGATTTCCTGGCATTTCTTTGTAACTTCATTGTACTCTTTGGGATCATTCTGTTTAGCCAAGTAGAACATAGCTAGTAGAAAATCGGCATTCATTATAGAGTTTAATATAGATGTGGACTTTTCCAACAATTCTTGACTTTGAATGGGATTTGAGGATGGATATTTGATGAGGCAGTAATGGTACACTTGCAACAGCCACAGTATTATCGATGACACAGCAAACGACAATACCTCTTCTTCCATCTTGCCACGACAGGTTATGCCATCAAGAACACCTTCCAAGAACTCGAGGAGACTCATGATGCAATGAGGTTTGTGAAACGCATCGAATTTTGCTATTCTTTGCAAAACTGCAGCATAAGATACAAGATGAGACGCCAATGAATGTTTCAAATATGATATAACTAACTGGTTTGCTCCACAACCAACCATTGCTTGTTGAAGTATGCAGTCTGCAAGGTTATACAGATCACCGCTTACTCCTCGCGGAAGAATAGTCTTGATGTTGATTCCCCATTGGATATCCGTCCACCGCTCCCTCCAAGCTTTGAGGATAAGAGCCTTCAACGAGCTAGTTTTACTCGTCACTTTGGACGCGTCCATTGTAACCATATTTCACTTTTGTTTGATAATAAATAAACAAAAATTGGATAACTGTCAGTTTTACACAGTCATTGTAATGTTTTAATTCAATAAAATCACAAAATCTCTATTTTGACCACAAGCTCGCAACGTCAAATATGGTAAGTTTTCTATTACAAACGTCATGATACAGATTACAAAGAAGTTTAATTCCATTGGATCTACAATACGGTATTCATGTTGACTAATAACAACAGACGAACATATCGTAGAGAACAAACCTGTCATTTCATTCGATTTAGCGTTTTGTGACTGCTGACACCGGAAGCAAATAAATTTTAAATATTTAAGAATTTTGGTTGTACTATTTCACCTTATTACATATTCCAATAAATAAATAAATTAAACAATTATTTTAAGGTATTATTGTGACTAAACATTTTATAAATGACAAAAGTAAGAAACATGTGGTCGTGTTAAATAAAACGTAACGTCAAAACTTCAGACACCCTCGTGGTTTGTTTACAAACTTTAGCCGAGTGCACAAACTGGAAAAGTAAAGAACGTAGCCAAAATAAGATGAGTTTCAGAAATTATAAGGATAAAATTGAGGAAGGAGATACAGCAATACTTTACCTGAGTAACAACCTATACGCCATAGATGTTCGGCCGGAAATGAAAAATAAAAAGGGTGAAATAGTAGAGAATGTGTACCAAACTCCTTTCGGTGCTTTAAAAGTAAGAACTCTAATTGGAGCCAACTATGGAAGCCGGGTAAGAGTTAAGCAACATAGATTATTTTGTATGTAATTAATCAAAATATTGAATTTTTTAAGTTTTATAACCTATCTCATTAATGGTTTTACCTCCTGTTGATATCGAATATAAACTACCTTTTAATATTTTCAACAAGGTTGAGCTATCAAAAGGTTGGGGTCATGTTATACAACCTACTCCGGAGTTGTGGTCATTGACCCTGCCTCACCGCACACAAATAATATACACTCCAGATATAAGCATGATTCTGCTGCAACTAGATTTGGTTCCTGGATCTATTGTTATTGAAGCTGGTAAGTTTGCACATTTATACTTTTATTTCTATTTTATTTTACTATATTAAAATATCTTTGAAGTGCATACTTACCTCATTAATTTGAATATAGAACATAACTTGTATGTACCATATATTGAATTTATATGAAGGTGGTAAAAGAGATGCCTAGAATAATTTGTACATGAAAATGAAACCCTTACTACTTAAAAATTGACAATTATGATGGCACATAGCCTGTAATAGTCCGCAGTATGAAGTAATAGATATAGAAAATTTAGAAAGGAGTGAAGTGTTTGCCTATAAGAAAGTGGTTTTTATAAATAATTTTGTTTTAGAAGTTATCAATTTGTAATAAATAATTTTCCATAAAGTTTATCTCCTAACACACTTACTTATGTCTAATAATAATACAGGTACTGGAAGTGGCTCCCTGACTCATGCCTTGATAAGAAGAGTAAGACCACATGGCCATGTCCATACATTTGATTTCCATGAACATAGAAGTAAGGTTGCTCAGGAGGAATTTCAAGAACATGGTATAGCAGATTTTGTTACTGTGAGTAGAAAAAGTTTTAAGTATATTTTTATTGCCAGTGGGTACTCCTTTAATTTTGGCCTTTTTGTTATATATTTTAATGAAAATTTTCAGATGTAGGGAGGAGTTCAAGTATTTATTTGTAAGCAATATTGCTACAGCTTTTATTTTCTTTACAAATATAGGTACTGTCACACTGTGCCTGAAAGTCAGCTGTTCAATAATCCCTTATTGCAGAAGACATAAGGTCCATTTTATTATTCTAACATTAAATTTCTATATGATTTACAATGTTCCTAATAATCTTGTTTTTAGGCGAAGCACAGAGACATATTGGCGGATGGTTTCGGTGAGGAACTGAACGGTAAAGCTGATGCAGTGTTCCTCGATTTGCCAAGCCCTTGGATTGGAGTGCCTCATGTACTCAATGCTATTAAGGATCAAGGTTAGAACCCACTTTAATTATTTTTTTTATGTGGTAGGTTGGAAAACTAGCAGACTGTTCACCTTATGGTGAGCAATCAGCGCCGCCCAATAACAGAAGAGCTACGAGTGCGTTGCCGACCTTCTGGAGATTAGGGATTATGAGTTTTAGGGATTGGGGGAAGGAAAGGATTGGGCCTCCGGTAACCCCACTCACACGGCGAAACACAACGCTGTGGTTCTTTCACGCCGGTTTTCTGTGAGGCCGTGGTATCACTCCGGTCGAGAGTCATGGCTTTCCCAAAATAAAAACAATTAAAAGAAAATGAAATGTTTGTGTTTAAAAAGAAAATTATTACAGAGTTTATAGACAGATTTTTTTAATGTGTATAGAAGTTTGATACCAGAGGCCCAAACCTTACATTAATAGATTGGTGAAAAGCGTTAAAAAACCAAAGCAATAACTTGCCATTAGATGTTGCGACTGCTGGTTTGCCGCCATATTAAAAATATACCTTCGTATGACAAAACTTGAATTAGGTAGGTACAAAGAGTTGCACTACCTATTCATTATCTACACTTACTACCTACTTACGCCAAAAACAGCACAAAAACACATTTGTAGTACGCACGCGAGTACTTAAGCGGTACTCAACAACATTTACCCAGAAACGCTTTTAATTCCAAGACCATTACAAAACCATTAAGATTCCATTGACGACAGACCTCTATTTGTATAGAACAGACACAAGATCAAACAATTTATTCATAGGTACAAAACGATAGCAGGTCAACTTGGTTCATTCTGTTTAGTTCCTGTATTCAATTTTCAACTTAATTGTTTTGATCAATTTAAGTCGAAAATCCAATGAAAAAAATACAGCTTGTAGTGGGTTGACCTGCTAGCGTTGTTACATATATTCATGTATAAATGGTTGTCCGATTCTCTGATAAGAAATCGTTTGTACGCAAGCGGAAAATGGTTGATCCTTATAAATTTACAAAAGCGATTGCGATCTCATTACACCGTGTCGATTATTCAGATCCCCTAGTAAGTTATTCGATTCTATTCATTAATCTGTAAAGTATTGATCCAGATAACGAATTCTTAATCGATACATCGATTTGTGTCGATTTGAAAGTAGTTGAACTCCTAGCATTGTTTAGGGTTGCCAGCTACTTCTGAAAATAACACATCCAAATGAATTTAAAGGTGATAGATACTAATTGAGGTGAGCAAAATATTGTTTGTAGGTATCTTTTCGATGTCATTTTCAGGTTGCTTTTATACATATTAAGTGCAATTCCAGGACAGAGTAGGAGAATTATGTTATTGTGGCCCAGAGATTAAGGAGCCCGCTTCCTATGCATGAGAGGGATCTTTCAAAACCTTGCTAGTATCCATATGAAACTTTCCCTTTTATAATTATAAGTACGTAGTTTTAAAGATTATTTATTTAGTGCTACCAGAAGAAGAGAAGACTTTTAATTTTTACTTCCAAGTTTGAATTGTCTTATCCGCCTTGAGCAAGCGTGGTGATATTAATGGTGATACCTTCTCGATGTAGAAAAATCCTTTGTTTATCTGTAGGCACTTATAAGCCTATGGTGTGATGATGTGACTTCTTTACCTTCTACTAACCTTATTGTCATTGATTAACGAACACAGTTTGATAAATCCAAGCCAATATTATAAATGCGAAAGTAACTCTGTATGTCTGTCTTTTCTTCACGCCTAAACTACTCAACCAATCTCCATCATATTTGGCACAGACATAGTTTGAAAGTCCAGAAATGACATATGATAGTTTTTATACCAAAAATCTGCAGAAAGTCATTATTCCACGCGAACGAAGTAGCAGGCAAAAGCTATAATACTTCTAAGTCACAACCCTAAATTCATTAGTCTAATTGGTACAGCGGTTATAACATAAGTAACCGAGAGATACGTATCGCGATCCGATCCGGGTGACAAACACAATAACTGATGCTTACCCTTGAGAAAGCTTTTAGCCAGCCATTGTCAGCGGCTCGTACGACCAAAGGCTATAACGATCAATAGACCAATTTAGATGACGTTTTATTCCAGTTCATTTTTTTTTGCTGGTTGTGTAATAATAAATGACGCGTGGTAACGATGCTGTTTAGAAAACGTTTAATCACTGGCTACCGTTCTCTGGGTATCATAAGAGCTCGCTAAATTTCTATCCCGCCTGAAAAGCATGGAGATTATGGGCTGAACGGCAAAGGTTTGGTTTGACCGACTGCAATGTAAAGTGTTGCAAAAAAATTTATGGATTTTATAATATGTTGTTGGTCCGGAGTCAGAAATATCGGCAGTTTTTCATGTAGATAGCACATACCTAAAGCCGTTAGTTCTATGTCAATCTAGCGTCCCATCGGATCCAAACTCTAAAGGAACAGAGAGTGTTCGTGTTCGTTTTAGTGTATATTTACACCATAATTTATTCCCCCATCCCCGGGGTGGTCTAGTTAGACAGATTGACCAACGTGATAGAAATGGATCTGAAGAATAAGTAAATACTTATCATTACATAAAATATTTTTGCATAAGAACTTAAATTAAATGCAGTCGAAAAGACCATTATCCGAAAAAGAACGACGAAATTACGAAAAAAAAGCCATCAGTAGATGCACGCATACATAACCAGTATATCTAAACACGCGGTTCTACACAACGATACCATAATAATCACATCCAATATATTTAAGTGACTTAATCCCCCTTTCTCTCAGAACGTACGGCCCTTTATTTTCCAAAATTAGTCTTTTTTTTTTTTTTTTTTTTTTTTTTTTGTCAGGGGAAAATCATCCAATGACTTCTCCCGCCCAGGGTAAGGCGAGAGAGAGTGTCAGACTCTTACTGACTAAAAACCCCCCCGTTCCTTCTCCTGCTCTGGGCCGAGGTCGCGGTGCCTCATTGCGCTTACCCCGCAGCCCCGGCTAAACATCAGCCCTTTAGGGCCCCGACTGTGGTGGTCTATTGGCTCTTTGAGGCGCGCGCGGAACGCTACGCGCCGTACGCTCGGGTCCAGTTCTGGTCGGGCGGCGAGCTACCCTTACTCGCCGTCCGCAGACCCGCGCTTACGGTGGCCGGAGATCATCCCTCGATCCCCGACGTCCGGAATGTCGCCTTCTGCGGCGGCTGGGGCGCGAGGAGGATAGTTCCCTCACGCGCTCCGCCTCCTCCTTTGCGAGCATTACTGCTTCGCAGAAGGAGGAGATAGCTTCCCAGTTCCTCTCACGCTGCACCATGGCCTCGATTAAGGCCGGGCGCGAGAGGTCGCTGCCGCCGATCACTTCCCTGAGAACACGGCGGTGCTCAGCCCAAGCAGGGCACTCCGCCACCGTATGCTCCACCGTGTCCTCCAGGTGATCCTCACAATGACGACACTCGGGCGTTTCCTCCCGCTGGATCCGAAACAGGAACCTACCAAAGCTGCCGTGCCCGGTAAGCACCTGCGTCAGGCGGAAGGTGAGGACGCCGTGGCGTCTCTCAAGCCACTCCTCAAAGAGGGGTCTTACCGCTGCTATAGTAGCGTGCCCTTCCAAAATTAGTCTGATGAGCCGTTTCAAAGACTTCCTTATGTTATTATATGCTCAATAATGGCTAATACTCTTAATGGGTGTATTTGAAACATGTAACGATGTATATAAGTAGATATAGTATATAATTATATGTTGCGCATACCAGTTTATATATGAGTGATGTGGTTTGTGTAACGTATTGGGAAATGGATAATAAGGGTGATAATTATGCAAGATATTTGATTCGCTGAAGTCAATATATGCACTCACTTTTCGTAGAATATGGATCTACCTTCGTACTCAGAGCCATATAATGGTTACTACCTAAGCTTAGTTATTAGCAATTGTTTTTGGAACAAAATTGTTGCCTACTAAGGATTCCTTTTATTCGTCAATTAAGTTGTTGACAAGGTTATGACCGATGATCCAATAGTTTCAAGTTATCTGACCCAACTTCAAGTTTTTGCAATATCACATTTAAAATACGCCACTACCTATAAAAACTTCAACAATCCAATTTATAAACCAAATGTTGAAATAGCACATAGCAACGAAAGTGATACTGTCACTACTAAATTTCAAATCGAATCGAAACATTTGAAAATCAGTGTCCAAAACCTCCACGCCCCGTAACTAACGGACTTTCTGTCCGAATTGTGACTTGTATACGTTTATTTATTACACGTCGTTTCTTGTCCAAATATGTCCTATTAATAAATGGCCGACCGTTCTCTAATGTTGGCAACAATAGCCTAACAAATGTATGAGAAATAGACTAAGTATTTTCTTTTTTGAACGATGCTTTAGTTTGCTATTGTCCTAGTGCGCTATGTTGTTTGAATGACCTATTGATCTGAGGGCGAACATCACCTACAAAGGGCGAATATCATAAGTGTATAAAATTTTTATCGTTCTATTGGCTATTTCTTTGAGTAGCGAACGCAATATGAATCAATACTCGTACCTTTATTTTAACAAAGAAATTACCTATGTCTGTAAAAGTAATAATAAATAAAAATATATAAACGAACTCTGCAAATGGTACTTGATACCATACGTGTATTTTTCGCATCAACTCGAAGGATACACTTAATCGCTTTATAACCCTTTAAATGCTGCAGCAATCTGAACATTTGAAACAGTTACAAATGTATGGTTGGAAAACATGACTCATATTCAAGCAACAAATCTCTCTCCTCTGGTGGTCTTCAAGGGAACGGACGGAAAGTCTAATAAGACAAGCCTTTTGCTCAGCTGTCTGGGCCAGGACGTTATCTGGTAGTGAAAAATAGTGCCCTTTGTGGAATTACTTTAGAGCAAAACAGCTATGGCTGTAAGTGACCCGTGCATTAAAAGTATCTTAGCCTATGTACTGAATACAAGGCTTAAGTGCTTTGTAATTGAGCGAGTTTTTTCTATTTTATCTGTAGCATATTTTGCACAGATAATTTCTGTGTATGTCTTACATTTATGCGATC